TTGAAAGATCTAATACACATAGACCGATGTATATAAGTTTTTTAATACTGATAGTTGTCTAGGATAATTGAATAGCAGCTAAATTCTCATGAAAGATGGAACTACTATGGAAATTGGGTTGGGCAATTCGAGCTTCAGCGCCATATCTACCACCCCATTGATTGATCAGTTTGACATCTTTTCGTTTTCTTTCGTCTTCCATCGTTTTTCCATATACTGCATTAATCATAAGCTTGTAAAATAATTTTTCAAACTCATTTTTAGTTTGCTTTCTTTTTTCAGTATTTAAATCAACATATGGTTTCAGCCATTGTTTTTGGTTGAATTCTAGCGCTCTATACAGGGTGATTCAAAAACATATGTAACTAATAATTCCATTCGATTCGTCTCGAAAAATGAATTTATAATTGTGTTCTTAGTTTTTCGATTAAATAATTAGGTAATTAGATAATTAGCTTCAAAGATCGGCCAATCAGCGCACAGCTTTAGAAGAACGTGCGCTTGGTGGCGAGCGCGGAGCACTGAGGGGGGGCCAGCGGCGCGCGCCGCCGCTGATTGCAAGCGGTGCTCAACCCAATCGTGCAACACGGAGCTCCCATGTCTACATACTGATATACGTATTCATTGATTGAACGCGTATCAATAAAAAGAACGGTTCAATACCGATTGACTAATAACAATGATATACGTGAAAGCTTTTGTATGTATTTTGCGAAATAGGTTATTTAGTATTCGTGGTCGTCGAATTTAAACTCGCTGTCTTACTTAAGAATTATGTTCATTTAATGCTGAAAATCGCTGTGACCGACTACTACATCATTGCTTTTTTTTGCTTTTGAGAAAATTGAGATCAATAGGTAGTGTGATGTTCGTATCACTTATAAATAAAATAATTCGAACTCTCGTAATATAGCTAATGAGTAAGAATTTGTTTCCAATGATTTTACTCTAATTGTTAATCAAATAAATAAGTAAATCAAATGTAAGTAATTCGAATATACATAAATAGGTATAATGTTTCGAGGAAAGTCAGACAATGCCCTAGTTTCTTATGGTGCGAATTGTCCCATAAGCAGAGCTAAAGTCTTTCTTTGATAGGATATAATTCGGCCCAAGTTTCTTATAGCGCGAGATGTTCTATAAGTCGAGCTCAAATTATAAGGAAAGGTTAGTCTTGCCTAGTAAATCACAATGAGAGAAAGAACTTAGGTGTTAATCCAAGTTTATTCAGACTCATGCGCTCACTTTGCAAGGCTAGAAGTGAATGAATCTAGCCTGTGCAAAGGTGGGCCTATTTATACACAGATTTTCCCGCTTATTTTTGCAGGAGAGATTTCATCGAAAATTCGAGAGACATTCGCGAATTTTGAGAAATGAGTTTTCTTAATTTACAAGTAAATAACCATTAATATTAAGTTTTTAACACATGTAAACTTTACAGAATTTGTTATTTGTTGATTTTATACAATATACAATTATCGCCAATAGTGTCGTCAAAAGTTATTAACTAATAAAGTTAATTAACGTGATATTACAATATTTACAATAGAAAATTATTAAATTTTCATATAACTTTATAGTTGATTAATTTTGGAAGTATTTTCCAAAATTAATTATTTAAATTAATTAATAACATTTGAATTATGACTAATTTTTCATATTTGTAACGGTTTTTTCTAATCTTAATATGCAATTATTAGATTAATTATATAAGATTTCTAAATCATAAAGTTATCATTATCAAGTATAAACTTAATATTTTCGTTCTATAAATGCTTATTGTTTAAATAAATTATTAATTGTTTATTTACTAATAACAGTTATTATACAGCTGTTATTAATGAAACCAATTCTTACTCATGTTCTATGTTTATTCACTTTGCATATGACTTATTTACATTTTTCTAATATTTCATATGTTAACGTAATAAATAAATCAACTTTGCATATTGATATTCATTATTATTTCATAATTGAATGTGAATTTTGTTATAATATTATGAATCTACATGCTAAAATCTATATAATCAATACATTGTTATATTAAAATTATCTCTAATTAACATATTTTTCTTAATATCCTAAATCATTATATCTATGTTTATTACTTTGTGACGTCACGCTGTTTATTTTGATTCGACTCTTATTTGTATACAGTCGCGTAAACAGTGAGGTAGCGCCGCTTAATGTATTGTTTTGAATAAACAGATAGATACGTTAGACTAGTTGCAGTCATTCAGTGATTTAATAAATAGCTCATATATAGGACCGTTACAGTAGAGGCGTACAGTGTGTTTCCAATTAGCTTGGTTATACGTTTTTTTAAGATTAAGAAATAAAATAATAATAAATAAATACTGACAATCCTCGGCTGAAAATTTCCATGTGGGAAATTCACTCCTGATGTGTCATTACACTTGGAACAAAGTCTCAATTCGCGTGTGCGAGACGATTTACACTAGTCACACACAGGAAATCCATTCTAAAATTTCTCACGCGTGCGAATCGTATCACATCTGAATTTGAGACTATGGGTGAGACTCTAATAGAGCCTATAATAGAAGGAGCTTTAAATCTACGAGAAAAAACGCATTTTGGCAAGTAGGCGGCTCGTAAACAAAAATGCTGTCGCTACGATGGCTTGCAGCAACTCGGCGCCTCGAATCAGGTAAGTGAAATTTGAATTTCAGTAATGATCATTAGTCATGAAATTATTTCCAGCATATAATAATTATAAAGTAAATATCGCAATGCTGAAGACTAGATCTACAATACATTGCGCATTTCTGAAATATTATTATCAATCTAACGAGCAAGCTACAATTATCATAATAATTAGGATTATTGTAGAACCCATTAGAACTTTAAGTGGTAGTCTGGGAAGCGAAACGCTTTTCATAAAGTGCGTAAATGTGTGTACATCAATTTTTCCACGTTAAATTAAGAATTATAAATAATAAAAAACTGAAAATTATAAAAGTCGTCGCCACATTTCGGTGAAAAGATTCCAAAAACAAATTTCCATAATTTTTTTAAAAATCAATCTCTCGTTGCCCTGTTCCGCATGGTAACTTCATCGTTTAAAAAACCGACATACGAAAGAAGATCCGTAATGAGTCAAATGTGCCAGGCTGCTCGGAGAGAGTAGTGGATGTGGCGAAGGTGCGGATTTTGAGAAGAATAAACGAAACAGGGGATGAGGCTGGGGGGCATGAGGACAGACGAACGCAGTGCGACCTAAGAAATTAGATGGACGGTAGGAGAAATTCGTCGAAATAAGACGGACGAGCGGAAGGCAAGGTGTAAAAAGACGGACGAGCGGAGGGCAGAGTATAAAAAGAGGGATGAGCGGAGGGCTGGGTGGAATAAGACGAATGAGCGGAGGGCAGTGTCTAAAAGGGCAGACGAGCAGAGCGCTATGTCAAAAAGGGCAGACGAGCAGAGACCTAGGTCACAATATGACGAACGAGTGGAGGGCTGCGTCCAAAAGGGCAGACGATGAGAGGGCTATGTTAAAACAAGACTGATGAGCGGAGGTCTATGTAAAATAAGACGGACGAGCGGAGGGCTATGTAAAATGGGGAAGACGGGCGGAGGGCTGCGTCATAAAGGGCAGACGAGCAGAGGGCTGCGTCGAAATTAGACGGACGGTGGGACGGATTCGTCGAAATAAGACGGACGAGCGGAGGGCAAGGTGTAATAAGACGGTCGAGCGGAGGGCAAGGTGTAATTAGACGGACGAGCGGAGGGCTGGCTGAAATAAGACAGACGAGCGGAGGGCTGGCTGAAATAAGACGGACGAGCGCAGGGCTGCGTCTAAAAGGGCAGACGATGAGAGGGCTATGTTAAAACAAGACCGATGAGCGGAGGGCTGGCTGAAATAAGACGGACGAACGCAGGGCTGCGTCTAAAAGGGCAGACGAGCAGAGGGCTGCGTCGAAATTAGACGGACGGTGGGAGGTATTCGTCGAAATAAGACGGACGAGCGGAGGGCTACGTCGAAATGAGACGGACGGTGAAAGGGAGACATCGAAATAAGACGGACGGGCAGAGGGCAGCGTTATGAAAGGCAGCCGAGCAGAGGGCTACGTCATAAAGGGTAGACGAGCTGGGGGCTGGGCGGAATAGGGCGGACGAGCGGACGAGGCCATTCTGACTTGGAGAAAGAGTTAGTCGAAGTAGAGTCTCAAAAAATAGGGCGGAGCGAGCATAGTTTAAGAAGATGGGAAGGTAGAGCAACGACTCGGAAGAAAAAGCGGTCAACCTCAGGGCGGTCTCAGAAGTGTGTCAGATATATAGAGATTTGTGTGAAGGGCAGATGTGCTCAGTGCTGCTTGATAGAAGAGTCAGAGTCAAACATGGACTTTGGTAGAAAGGCAAAGGAGCACAGTGTGGCCTGGTTTAGCCGTAGAAGACGTGAAGATAATATTGAAAAGACAAAAGCAACGGGCGGAACAGGTAATGCAACAGATCAAAGGTAAGCTGTGGTATAAGTGTCAATGATCAAGAGTTAGACGTAGTCGATGTTTTGGGAAATATGGGAAAGGAAGGACGAGAGCGGAAAAAAAGGTAGAATAACGATAACGGTCTCACCACCCTACGCTTATTTAACCTTTCGTCAGTTGACATTCTGTCACCTCACCCATAATTATTTGTCTTGATTCCAGTTTTAGAAGTTGAAAGAGTAAATTATCACTCTTCTTTTTAATTATTTATCTAATTACCTCAATTCTAGAAAAATTTTTTCATAAGTCCACTTATCCATAACTGTTTGTGATGAACTCAGTGGTGTATGAAAATTTAAATAATTGAGGCCCGTATTGAGAACAACCAAAACAGCTAAGGGAGATGATTGAAAAAAACAGATTTATATAACAAATCATCTTTATTTACACAGACTATAACGTTTTATCGAATTATTCGAATTTCGTCTACTATTAGGCTGACTAGTTTTTAGTAAAACCTTAATAGAAAAGAAAAAATATAAAAAACATGTCAATTCATATCTCCCAATCTGGATCGTTGCCAACGTCGTCATCATCTTCATCCATACTATCATCAGCCTCACCGTCTTCGCTGCCATCATTTTCATCATCGTTGTTCATATCATCATCATCATCTTCTCCATTTTCATCATTGCCATCAACATCAACATCATCACCATTCTCGTCCTCCTCCTCAACAACATCATCATCACCATTACCACCATCATCACCATCCAAGCATTGTTCGAAATGCCCCCCCTGTTGCTGAATACACAAAATAGATCTACGTCTTATCTGATGTGTAGCTGCATGTATTTTTTCGGGTTCTAGATACTGGGCGTGATGTTGGATTCTTTGTATCATGTCATTTGGGTCATTGAGGCCGCCATTGTGATAAACTGCTTCTTTGGATGTCCCCCAGTAAAAGTAGTCCAATGGGTTCAAATCAGGAGATCTTGCTGGCCAGCGTACTGGACCATTATTGCCTATCCAATGGCTGCCATATACCTTGAAGAATTAAAATATTTTATAAGCGATTTTAATATACCTGCGTAAAATTTGTTATGAAACCAATAATTTTTCTAGCCGACAGTTGTACATGCAGGTGCAAGTACAGACATATACATATTTGGTTTCTAGCGCTGTACTGTGAATGCACTCTCACATGCTCCCCGAAGTATACTAATAAAACCGTGTTGGTTTTAAAACTTCTGTAGACTGAAGTATTACGAGTAATAAAAATACTGGCAGCATACGTAGAGATTAAAAAATGTTATATTTAAAGTATAGTTGAAATGAAAGGGAAAAAGGAGGAGAGCGGATTTTAATTGAGATTTGAGAATCTTTGAGCGACGGAAATAAAACTCGTCAAGTATGATACAAAGTAGAAAATTTTCATAAGGCTATCTGTCCTAGAACGACTTTTATATTTTTATAAAGAATAATATAAAAGTAATTAAATTTCCTTTCAAGTCAGAGCAATATTCCCTTCAGCAAATAATTGGCATAAAGCACGACAAAATTATCCTACATGAAATTTCAGAGCGTTAAGACTTTCATTAGGAGAAATTGCGTAATACAATTTTTGGTAAGGAAGGGTAAAGCAGGCAGAATAAGTGAATAAACAGTTGTAGAAAAGAAATGCTTTATTCGAGATGTTTATTTTTATTTGGATGCCTTTGGCGTCCGCGTCACGGAAGAGACTAGAACGAATTGAGTGGCAACGCCGTTAGCCGCCAAGAGAGAGCGAGACGTGTAGTCACGCACATGCGCAGAGCAAAATAGGTAAGATGCTTTTACATATTTCCAACAACAATGTGTGACGGTGTAGGCTGGTCATGGCCTGCACCGTATGCTTGCTTCCCTCTCCATCCTAGGCAAAGGCGCACGGCTGGCATCGGACGCACGTTATTTTACGTGTCTGATGCCTGCCTTTATTCTTTCCAGTATTGCAGCTAGAAGAGAGAGGGAGAAAAGACAAGCAGCGAGCAAGCCAAAGGGAAGATATGTCAAGAGTAAGAGAGAGAGAGAGAGAGAGAGAGAGAGAGAGAGAGAAATTATATGTAGTTCGGTGAGGCTCGGCGCGCGGCCGTGTGCCGCGTGCCGCCGATTAGGAGGACAGTGGTGGGGAAGGCGTGAGAAGCCGACTTGCACGCATTCGTTACTAGATCGGTGCACGCGAGAGAGATCGGCCGCACTGGGAGGAATTGTCATCTTCTTCTTTGCCTCCAACCCGAGAAAGAGTGTGAGAGCCGTGACAACGAGAACTGGACTACGTCTCGCGCTAGCCACCTCACCTGCAGCCCACCTGCCAAGCAGCCATCACCCTTTTGGTCAGGTTTAGTTTTCTCTTCTCTCTTTTCTCTCTCTATTTCCCTCGGCATTGTCTCGCGGTTTGTGTGCGGCGCCAGGCTCTCACGAGCCGGCGCAACTTATCTTCGTCACTTAATTTAGTTTGAGTCGGTTAATGAGGTGACATGGCGCTAACGTGCCGGTCATCTCATTTAGTGTAAGTCTTGCGTATTATTAATGATAAATAGTTTTGTATCCTCGTCGGCACTCGAGGTAGTGCGTTTGTAATAAACGGTCGATTAACGAAGTCGAGTGTGTGAAATCATTAAGTCTACACCTTCTCTTTCCTGCTTTGCTAGGAGCAATACACCGCCTCCCTTAGCCTCCCCTTAAATAATTCGGTAATAGTAGCGAAATTGTTGGCATTGAAGGCCCACGCTATTACAAATGTATACTATAATAATTACCTGATCAAGATAATTCCTAACATTCACAGCAGTATGTGCTGGTGCACCGTCATGCATGAAAATAAGATTTTCTTGCAGTTCTTCTGGCACACCATCAAGCAATCCTGGAAGTATATCCTGCAGGAACTCAAGGTAATTTTCAGCGTTTAGTGGGTTTGGAAGTTGTACCGGACCAATAACTTGATTACCAATCAAGCCTGTCCACATATTGACTGAAAACCGATTTTGAAATCGATCTGGAAATAATGAACAAAATTTATAAATTTTTCAGTTTATAGCACATTTTGATAGATGTTTGGCGACGCAAGACGTCTCTTATCCACGCATATGTCGTATTGTGTTTTTTGAGACAACGTGAGCGAAGCGAGTCATACCGTACAAAGAATTGCAGTTTGATAATTTAATCATATTATTTACAAATAGTAATATTCATGTTAGTATTTTTATCTTTTATGATTGCATTTGTTCTATTTCGTTTTTTCTCTTCTACGTGCCCACAATCTTAAGGTTATTCAAGGAAAATTTGACTAAAAAATACGTGAGGAATTGTATACATTCGTACTACGAAATAAAGTATTAGTGCATGATAATTTTTAAAAACGGCGAATGAACATCTCGCTTCACAAAAAATTATTGCTCTTAAATAGTCTTTCGCACTTTAGATGCATATATGAACTACATTTTCTTCATGATTTAGATTAATACTCATAATAATGTATGAACTGTGAATCAGTTTTGACTTTATCGTCCCATTGTTTAAATGTGTGTGGCGGACGTGCTTTATCTGTTGATCTACTTGGTTAAAACTTTCAGTTTTTCCTCAGCATCAATAAAATAATTTAGTTCAGCTGTCGCGCGGCGGTCGCTTAAATTTCGATTTATGGCGCGCCCGCAATAAATGAAAATTGCTTTGCGCTCTCGCTAATCCCTTGTTGTTAGCGACAAAACACGTTTCATCACCCTGCTTTCCCGTTGGTCCTCAGCTACTCTTTTCACGGACTTCGTGGGTGGGACTTACCTTCCCCCGATGCCCAAAGGAAGCGTCTTCACTGAGGTATGACGAGTGAATTGTCACTCACGCTAGAACAGCCGACACGCTTACATCTCTACTCTCTGCGAGATGCGCGGTCTTTGCGTAGACTAAATCTCTACTATTAAGTATTTGTAGTAGTTAGTCTACTTTTAATAAAACATCAAGTTTTCCTTTACACCTAAATCATCGCTATATTTATTTAATATATTCACCCACCAAACGGACCTCCATGTAGATAAACTGAAAAAGCAATTCGAACGAACTAAATAACGTTTTCATTAATAATTGCTTATAGACCTATAAATACAAATTTTATTTCGATAGAGAAAAATATTTTTGTCAATCGCTAGAGATCGTAGACTGTTTTTTTTTATAAATAATAACTAACGCACACAATGACAAATTCACGGCCGGATTCCGGTACGGAGACCCCGTATTCCAAAATAAACTGCTGATCCGATTAAAATTTACCTATGTGTGTGCGTGTATTATTGGAAGAAAGTTTATTTTTATTATACTCGTAATAATATACATTTTTAGATATATCTTTTTAATATTTTCGGTTTTCCGAACGCAAAGATGCGACTTGGAGTACCATTGCTTTTTGAAGTGTGCGCAGAGTCGCGTCTTCGTGCAGGGGGTATAAAAAAAGTGTTTGAAAAATGCTTAAAAAATGTTTATTATTAAGCGTATCCTAAAAATAAATTTTCTTTCAATAGAAGACGCACACGCATAGGAAAATTTTCATGGAATTGATTGTTTTTAGAATATGGGGTCTTTAAATATTCAGAACACTTACCTTCCCGAGCCACATGCGGATTTTCATGAGCCCACTGATGCTCATTGTGCTGATTAAACATTCCCTTCCGTACGTATGTTGATTCGTCAGTCCAGAGAATTCGATCCATAAAGCCTGGATCAGCATATATTTCATTCAGCAAGAATTGACAGAACGCAATACGGTTCTGGGCATCTCTTTCATCTGTTTCGAGAATGTATAAGTAATATTCAAAATAACCATCGCGTATAATTATCTATGCTACTTAGAAAAATTTAGAGATTCTATGAATGCGAATTAACAAAATTTTTTGAGTAGAATTTTACATAAGAGTTTAGCTTGAAATCTAAAAAATGTGTACTTTTTAAAGTAAAGTAGCCGAGGTATTTTATTTGAATATACGTCTTTTGATACCCCAAATTTCTAAAAAAATTCATAAACTTCTAATAGACATGGATCATTTTGAAGAAAGAAAAATCAAATAAGCAATCCAAGTTTAATAAACAGATTCCTATAAAATCCATTGCATTCATCAATTAATTTTTTTGTAAATTAAAACTTGAGAAAAACTGTTTTTAGACTATAGTAGGTTATTTAAACTAACTACTACTTCAAAACTTGAATAAACTTTCTATCAAATAATTAAAAATGGATTTTTTTCAAATTTTTTTAAATTTATTAAGATACAGACCAAAACTAAATAAGTTATCAATCAAACTATTCTATTTATAACTTAATGGAAATAAGTAACCCTACTTTTTTTGTCATTTATTTCTTATAAAAATCATTCTAACTCATGGTCATCAAAGATTACTAGAAAAACAAAACGACGAAGTTACTCCCATCGGTTTGAAAATGATGGTCAGGTGATCTACGTGAAAAATGAATGGTAATAAAATGCAATGAAGCTTGAGATCTTTCGTGTCGATCAATTTGCCAACAATCTATTAGGATAATTGACAAATTTGTGACAGCAAAGGGAAAGAAAAAATCACGGATTTCTGAGCTGATTTCGAGACTATAGCTACTTTGCCTATTTGCCATTTGGTCAAAAAAGCTTAAACTACTGCAAAAAACTCATCTCATGGTTTAAGGTTTGATTCGAGAAATTGCAGGAAAATTTTCCAAGAAATTTCGATTCCTTTATTTCTAAATTACACATTCTGAAAAAATTAGTTCTTAAAATGATGTTGAAGTTTGTATCGCTGCAGAGCAACGATTTTTTTTTATTTAGGATATAGCCGCTATTTCGTGTCAAAATTTAATGGGCGTATCAAAAATAGTAAAACTACATGAAATTTTCAAATATACAATCTTTGCGATTTCATAGTTTGAATATTTAAAAATTTGGTTGAGATCGCTATGACCAAAGCTGGCAACTAGCGATTTCGAGTGACACGCCCTTCTTCAGGAAAATCACGAGGCCGAGTTTGCGTTTCCCCTTAATTTCACGATTCGATCTTGCATTGTTAGAGGATATTACAAAAATTGTAGTTGCAAAATGAACATGTATACCAAGTTTCATCAAGATATCTTGTAAATTCTAAAAATGCCAATGGTTAACAGACATACAACAATAATAGCGAAAAATATACATCATTTCAAATGTTTTGTAAGCTTATAATAACTATCAGATAGTCAGCAAACCGAAAAAAAAGTTTTAATTTACTACAACACAAAAAGTCCCAACAGGAAATAACAAAATTAGACGTCAAATTGCGGAAATAAAAATTTTTTTAGGCAGTGAACTTCGGTGTAGAACAATTACATCTATCGAATACAAAAAAAAATCGACCCGAAAACTGCAGAAATAAAAAAGTTAGAGCGAAAAAAAAATTTTTCGACAAAACCCTTTACAATGCTTCCTCTTCAAGGAAGCAAAACTGCAGTAACAGCCATAAAATAATAAAATAAATCTATATTTTCATGTATAACTTACGAAGTTCCTGAACGGCTCTGTAGTGATATGCGTGTTGTCCATCATCCCGAATGTCTCTTTGTGCCATACTGTACGTACATATGACTCCTAGATTTTCGAAGACTTCACGGGCAGCTACACGCAAACTCTTCGTCGGGTCCTCTTCGAAAACTTCAACGATCGGCTCATGCAGTTGATTTCACAGCTCGCGTGGACGACCTCCATCTGCATTCGTCACCGCCACACAACCAGTATTTCTTAACCTCCGAACTATGGTGTCGATGGTTCGGGGGTTAACTGGCCTTCCGTGTTGTGCCGACCATAGTTCAGCAGCTCGTTGAGATCTTCCAAGCCCAGGCCCAGCCTCACCAAAATAAATTACCATGTCGACGTACTCGTCAATCGTGAATTGACCAGCCATTCTGTTGCCCACGATGGAAGTCGCGCTCGCGCCGTAATCGTCGACATACAACTTGATTTTCGTTAGAAAAAAATGAAGACAAAAACAAATGCGTCTGTCCGTGGTCATTTTCGAATTCTTTCTTTAATTTTGAAATTTTTTGGTTTTTAAGTACCTTACCGTGTCAACATTACACATATCAAGTGTCGCGTTAGCGGCACGCAGGCGAGTAGGAATGAAATGTCTATGAAGCCTGGCCGCAACGGACACTATAATACATCAAGTTGGCTAAAGTGGGTGTGGCTAAAAATGTAGAGTTGAATTACTTCATATCAATTGTACAGTGATATGCCCGCATCACTTATAACAATCACAATTTATTTTTCCGTTGACGTACATCAGGATATTTCACTGGCTTATGAAAATATTATGATGGAAAAATCAACATGACAGCGAATAACTCACAGGACCGTAATGATTAATTTATTTCTTGTAAGAAAATTAATTATAAATTATTTGACTCACGGGTCAAGGTTTTACACACGTTTCCAATCAATTAATGAAAAAATAATGACATAACGTGATAAAGTTATAGTCTCGTGAAAATAAAACATGAATAAAAAATTACCCATTGATTTATGCATCTATAGACATGTATGGAAAGTCCTAACTGTGTACCAAAATGTTATAGTATAACGTGAAAATTATTAAAGCATTGACAATAACTCGCATAAGTAAACTTGAAAGTTGCGGGAGTAACGCCTCAGCGTCAGTCGGCGAACGACGATGATGGTTTTAAACTTTTATTTCGACAGGCATGTCATTGTCGTGTATCGTTCAAATTTTGTTCATTGATACATGATAATTTGAAACCATATGTAACGAAGCTTTCCATTAGTTTCGTCTCGATATAATTCAGAATTTCTTGTAGAGTTGTGTTAGTTTCGATTCAATAATTAGGTAATCAGTAACTTGACCTCAGCGTGTCACTGCCACATCGCTCGCAGCGAGTCGGTGCGAATGGGGCGCTTCGTTTTATTATTTATTGCAGGCTTGTTGTTTATTAAGTGCCAAGAGACGTCAATCATATTTCTTTGTAGAAAAGTACAAGGAACAAGATGGTATAAAAATTGTTTAAACCCATACGGTCAAGCTACGAGAAAAATGCATTTGAAAAAAGGTAATAACTTGAAAAAAAAATTATAATTATTGATTAATTGCAAACGCGCATCACTCCACGCGCTAATTTGGACGCTTTTCTTTCTCTGTGCCACACGTTCTGCAGTTTTGTAGCTACAATTCGCAAAACAACTAGGCACATAATATATGTATTAGTTATGAAAATATGAATAGCTTTTCTAGACTTTTTTTAGAAAAAAATCGTTTTATAAGGGTCTTCTTCTTTATTCTCAAGCTTCCTTTGTTCTTTGTATATCGAGTTGTATATCGTTTAAAATAAAAATTTGTAACACTATTTCCAGCTTGCAATATTGGTTCTGAACAACTTCAATAATATATGCAGAAGAGAGAGAGAGTGAGTGAGTACTAGGTAGGATCAAGGGAGTGTATGTTGTTTAGAGGTTCTATATACAGAGAAGAGTCGCAGTTTTTTATCCCCCGGATTAGGGAAGAGACCGCACCTAGCCGGTTTAAAAACCCCAGTCACAAGTGGGGAAAAGCCTATTAAATGCGGCAACTTTATTGATAAAAATTACAACCAAATAGAACGCAAACATCGAAATAAGTCCGGCGCAGAGGCATCGCTCGCCTTTGGGCTCTCGCCCTTACAACTTTCCGCGTATGTGCGCGCGTAATCCGGTGGATCATCCGATCCACTTACCGCTTGCCTCAGGACTCGTGAGAGAGGGAGAGAGATAGAGAAAGTGCCTCCGAGATATAAGGCACGGTGTAGCCCCGACGTCTCGGGAACGGGGACAGCCACGTAGTTGGAGGCACTTCTGAGGGTTGGTCGCACCCTCACCTACGGCAGCAGGTCTCCCTGTCCGTGGCCCAGTAGCCACGAGTCGCTGGTCGCGGTGACGGTCGGTATTCTCGCCGGTACCACGACGCACACTTTTCTGGTTCACAAAAACTGTCACCGCAGCGCACAGAACAATGATAAAGTTCGGGTCCGTCAAGGAAGACGTACGAACTTGAAACTAAAACTAAAACTCGGGAAAGCGATGCACGTCTTATAAGTGCGAAGCATTCCCACTTCCCTCCGCATTAAGGGTCCGTGGTGCGATAGAGAGACAAAGAGCGCTACTTGAAATGCGAGCGCGTCGCATGGTCGGACCCCGCATATACCGCACCGCGGTCGGTTGTCGAACACATGTTGATAATGACGTGCTGATACATCGCACATCCATCACAGCTGATCCTGTCCCAGACGCGGTACAGGTAGCCGGAAAAATATGCCAGCTTATCGCGAGATCAGCTGTGATGCATGTGCGATGCAGCCGCGCTACACGAGAACCACAGACGCTTCGGACACCCAGGCGCAGATACCGTAAACAGGTTCCATAATTAGCAGAACTACTAACATTGCTACGATGTTACTTAAAACTATGTATTCGTAACTAATGCAACAGGTATCAACAGTGGCAACGGGTAAATATTTTCAACCTCTGTCATAACAACTTTCGCAGTAAAACCGGTAGTTGAAATAATTTTAGTAGGCTAAAAGTGGTATAGTCAACTTTCATCAACGTCATGTCAAAGAACGAAGGAAGGTTTAGTGGTTTATATTTTCATAGACATCTCGACCAACTTTTAAAACTTAAAATTGCTCTGACAAACAATCTTGACAAGTATGTAAATTTGGACTTGATGAGTGCAAGCCAGTTAGTGCTATTGAGAAAGGCTGTCACAAGTTCTCACGTGTCTATACAAGATACACTTTGTCTGGGATCATTCCTCGTGTCACATGGTGGTGTAAGAGGATTCATTGAAAAACCAGTGTGGCTGTTGGATATAAGCATTGCAGCACGCATGATCACGCAAAAGTAAGTAAAATCTTATCACACGCGCGCACGCACACACGCACGCATACGTAGGCACACACACGCACGCGCGCACACAAAAGTGCAGTGCGTGAGCGAATGCACAATCTCCCGTGTCCAAATACACGCATACGCCCTTGCAGTCGCGCAGACATACACTCGCATCCTCAAAATAATATTAAATTAAACTTGATTTTGTTCCACTCTCCATCGTTGTGTGTTTAAATTGATATTCTTTTAGTCGTGAGAGCTAACCCTGATGTTCAAATAAAAACTCTAAATTCTTCATTAACGTTTCGTTTCTGGTTTAAGGTCCCATCGGAATCTTTATTAAAAAATATAACCTTTTTAAATCACATGGCTGTGATGTAACGCAAAACATGAATGTATAGGTACGATTGTTACCTTAATTTATGATTTTTCGAGACAAAATTTTAACAAATAAGTGAAAGAACATCAATTTAAATATTAAATTAATGTATATTCGATGGTGTTCTGCGGGAGAGGCAGGACCGGGGCACAGTGATGCAGAACAGCAAAAAAAGTGTCAAAATATTTGAATGGGTTGGATTTGACATAAAATTAACTTGAAATACACTTTTTCAATGTATTTTGAACCAAGGAATCCAAATCCGTTTCCCGCGACAACCTACGATTATTCCTTCATGACTAAAAACATGCATTTATACCGAGTGATTAGCCAAAAAATAAGTTTTTCATGAATAAAATTTCATTATAAGATTTTATTTAATGTGTCACACATGTTTTCCATGTATTTTTCAACGAGGAATCCAAATCTGTTGTCTCCGGCACGATATTCCTACGTTCACATAAAGAAAAATGCGTAACCATGCAGCATGGATTTTTTATATATTTATTAACGAAAATATTTCTATTCTATCTTTTGTTGTCGTCTTATTTTATGAATATTTATTGCTATTTAATGTAACTAATCCAGGAAAAGTTAGGTACCTAACTGATGAGGCATTTATTGCAAAATAGGTGATTTTAATAGATTAATTATATGTTACCTTATGCCAGATGTACGATTATTGAGTCAGGTTTATGGACAACATATTATTTCGAGTACTGATTTTATTTGCGTAAACAATCCATTTTACTTGTACAGTTTCGAATGTTAATGACATTTGTGTTATATGCAGATATGCATATATATATATATATATATATATATATATATATATATATATATATATACATATATATTACTCTTAATTCGTCGGTATGTTACAGTGTTTTCAGTCAACATCACTATTATCTGATTCAGTCTCTTCTTGGGTAGTGTCAACAAGTAATAGTCTTTTCATTTCTTCCGACAATTTTGATCTTTTTGTCTTTGGTAATGTTTTGAGAGATGTTATTAGTGGATCGGAATTTAGAAAAAGTCTCTGATACATATCTTTATTTGTTTCGATTCTGAAAAAATTATTATTTTAATTGACAATCTTATAATTCTTTATGTACTGATTGATTTTACATTTTTTAAATTACAAAGATTAGTTTGTCACATATAATAATAATAATAATAATAATAATCTACATTTGAATACGGAATATTATTGACGATTTTTTACAAAAGCAAATTTTTATCCAAAGAGATTTTAATGTTGATAATTATCTTACTTTACATTTTAACAAAGAAATATTAATAAATACCTAGAGCATTTTTTTGTAAATTTTTCTCTAAATCTCTTAACGTTCTTATTATTACTCTCTAAAGCTTCTTCTGAAAAATATCCGATCGGTAGAATAAGTCTATCCATAATTTTCCAACCATGTAATAAGATAACGTGTACAGAGGGGGGCATGTAGTAGAAGTTATACAATGTAACATACATTTTAGCTGTGTCTTCACAATAGTTTTGAAATTCCTCAGTATTTATTTTATATCCAGACGATATCACTACAAGAATAACATGGAACCTTTGAAGTAGATCTTCATCAAATCCTACAACACCAAATTTTTTATAGATATAAAATATAATAACAGAGATCTGATAATAAAATCCACAATCCATGATTCAGTGATTACAATTACCAGTTAAATTGGAAACTATCTTAAAGTTCTTGAAGAATTTTCTAGCGGTGTTACCATCGTTTGTGTTACCAGCACCTTGTAAAACAATATCGACTAATATACCCAGCTCGTCTCGAAGACTACATTGAATTAAGGGGTCTACCTACTACTCGCCCTCAAAAAAAATGCCTACTTTTGGGAATTTTTTTAAAACATATTGTGAATCATATTGATATAAATATTGTTAGGTGTGATAAATAATGTCTAAAACTGTATAAAAAATTTTTTTTAATCCATTTTATTTAAATTTTGTGAACAAAACCCATGGCTGAACGTAAGTCCTAAAAAATAAGCGAGGTGAACGGTACCACCATTTTCTGAAGAACGGCTCGTCTGAAACAGAAAAATCGAACTTTTTTAGATTCAGTATGACAATAGCTAGGTTTGCGAGCTATATTTACAAATATTTAGCAACAAATAACAAAATCGCTGCCAAAAAATCACAAATATAAAAAAAAACACTGATTTTTTCGCTGTTTTTTGAGGTTAAGATGTATTAAAAGTATAATATTGTAATGTAAAATAGCTTGCAAACCTCGGCTTTTATATGTAGAATACGTGTTTTAAATTTCAAGAGGATCGGTCGAGTAGTTTTGCTTAAAATGGTGGTACCACCTTTGAAAACGTTGTTTTGAGAAAAACGCGTTTAAAGTTTTTTTTAATGAAAAATTCTTTAAAAATCTTACCTAAACTCAATCTGCGATACCAGCACCGTACATTTCATCTTCTTTTTGTTCAAATTCTTCATTCTCTGCTAATCTAGCTTTCTTTCGTGCTGACCTGGACTCTTTAGAAGATTGACTACTCCTGCGGTTCGCCGTTGATATGCGCGATGGCTTACTATAATAAGCTTTCGAACGCAGTCCTATGCCTAGTTCCATCAGATTACAAAATTTATTTATACCTGTTAGTCCAATTCCAAGTAACCGAAAAATAAATACTAAGCGACGATTCACTTCATAGCCATTTCCAATTTTGGGACAAGAATTGATATACTTTTCTCCGCACTTTTCACAAGCTACACACAATTGGAAACCTAGTCCATGCTGAGCATATTTCGTAAATTTAACTGCTCCGTTACACACTTTACACTTTAAATATCCTTGTAACATACAAAAAACTGCAGCAAAACTTATAAACACGTAACCAGACGTGGGATCTTCGTGTATGTCTAAGGTGGCATCTTTTGAATTTTTGAGTTTTTCAGCTGATTTACTTGCATGGTCAGTTCCGGTTTCGTCGGAGAATTGATTCCCGCGAAATTGTTGTTTTTTCTTCCCCGTCAAACCTGCACGAACTCGGTTTGTTCTGCTCCCTTTCGGCATGATGCTGGTCGTACGAGATCACAGACAAAACTGACTGTCGAAATATATATAAGAACAGCACTAGAGCTGGCTTATTTCCTTCCAAAAACTATATAGTAACACTTAAATTCAAAGAAAAAAGGTCGAAAACATAGTCGAAAAAGAGAATATACGATTTACTTCAGGTAGCAGCAGCATTTATTGTCTAAGAGATTTAGCCGGCAGAAGGGGCGGGCAAGCGCGTGCAGCTGGCGTAGCGCGCTCAGGTAGGCGCGCCGAGGTAGTGATGTACAGGTCACAAAAATATATAGTTACACTGCTCGGATCTTTATAAAATTTTGACACAATATTCTTACATACATATACATTCGAAAAATGTAAAAAAAAAAATCGATATTTCAAAAGTCGAGTAGTGGGTAGACCCCTTAATTTTTTGCGTTGCTCAACTTCTTCTACATTCGTTTTAGAAATCTATAAAAATGAAAAATATTAATGATACATTTCTATGATACGACACTTTACATGAGTGTTTTATATTTTTTACAATATAAAATAAATATCCACATTCAAAAATTTTAAATTAATCAATGAAAACAGTTGAATATATACTCTGGACTGATTTTATTTGAAGGAATTTTGAACATAATTGGTATAGAGTTTAATTTTATTTATTTTTTTTTAATTTAGTACTCACCCTCCACGTTGCATTTTCTTCCAAAACTAAACGGTAACTTATATGAAGCACTAATTCCATAAATCTAATATGCGCATGTAGTATGGAAAACCCATAACTCAATGATTCCGGATCAACTTCCATGTTTATCAATGTTTCAATGTCGTTTAAATGAGATATTGTTGTTTTGCATATAAAGCACGTTTGGCTCGATGTATTATTAAGAACACCACAAACCTAAGTCGGTTAAATATTTATTAATATTATATTTATAATGTCGAAGACTGAAAGAAACTAAGAAAAATTAATACCTTCCCATCAATCATTGTTAGTTCCATTTGAAAGCCTACATTACACCCATTAATACGAAGATCTTTTAAGTTATCAATTTCTTTTTTAAGTTTTGATTCTTCCTTTTGAATTAATAGAGTAGTTTCTTTTTCAAAATAAATATTGATTGCTCGGCAAAATCTAGTTGACGAAGGTCGGGGATTTTCCCAATAAACGATATTGTTTTTTCTGTCTACTAATTGAAGTGGAACCATACACGAACAGAAAATTGCAGTATTTGCGCCTTCATTTTGAAATAACTCTTGATTATATGTTTTTATATTTGTTCCATCAAATCCATATTTACAAATTAAAATCAATCTTGGGGAATTATTTAACTCTTCATTAAAATTTAATTTTAGAAATTCAAATAACCGTTCAACTGTGTGATAAAGAAGCTCTTGTAACGGCACTGTACAGTCTTGCTTTGTTACTACGTAGTTTTGTGGATAAGTTTTTACTTTTTCTGCTAAAACCTAAAATACTCATTTTTAACAAAAAATTTTCAAACCAAATTTTATGAACTCAAGCATACTAATAATTTAACTAACCTTGCGGTATGAAGGGTATAAATCATGACCGTGTTCAATAGAATTATTTCTAAGTTCTTGATAAGTCGATTATGTGAAGTTTAAATCGACTAATAAGCGAACCGCATTCAATGGTTTCATTTGTGAACAGTTTGAATATTTCTGTTCCTTTTGTAGTATATTATTTGCATAATCTTCCTGACACAATTTATCGAAGATTTTTAAGACACTATGATTTCCTTCATTTTTAAATTTTCTTTTCGCCAAATCAAAACACTCTTTAGCAGTAATGCTTTCAGATAAATTACGGATCATCCTAAATTGCGTTCTGCTAGACGAATTTTCGTACGATACAGAAGGTCTTCCTGGTTTGTAATTTTGAAAAGAAAATCATAAAATAACATAAAATCATTTTTTATTTTGATTTTTATGCAAGTATACGAAAATAACGATCTACTCAAAAAAAGATTTCAATTCTAAATTCGGAAGTTCAAAGCTAAATACGCTGTGAATAATTTAAATAAATGTATTTAAAAATAGAATTAATAATCGTGAAATCGAGTAAAAATAAAAATGAAAAAAAAAACTTTTATACGACCTTAATGAGTTATCACGATTTAGAGAAAATTTGATAAAGCATTAATGCATCGTAAATTAATATATCGTCAATAAACAGGAAATCTCTAGTTAATTACTCATAAAAACTAGTTTGCCATGTTTGGTAACGTTATTTTAAAGTCAAAATCAATGAGAAAATTTCTCAACAAATAAAGTGAATATGAATCTTCGGGCTTATAAATACGCCTCGCGCATGCGCAACTTTTTAAATACGCCTCGCGCATGCGCAACTTTTTAAAATCGGAAAAATTTTCTACTAATCTTATTTGAATCTTATAGAATTATAATATCATAATCGACTTTGATATAACTAAGAATATTCGAAATCAAACCATTTAAGATATATTTAAATATACTGATAAGGGTTTGAATTTCAAAATAAAATTAAAAAAAAAGATTAAGCACTAATATTACTTATGAAAATTTTGGTTACCTGAATTGTTTTTATTTACATTTTCTATTTTCAATGAACCAAAATCGAATATCACAGTTTCGTCTAACCAACTCTTATACTGTTCTTGAAACTTGTCTGTTGTTTTATTATTTTTTGGTAGTGATTTGAAATAAACATTAAAATTATTATAATAACGAGTTCTTAGAGTCTCTCTTGTAACCGTTACAAAAGATGAATCATTCGGATCCATTTTCCACTTTGTTAATAATGATTGTAAAACATTTTGCTTTGTTGATTTGTGTGCTGTTGATAATTCGTCATGCAACTTGAATATTTCAAGGCGCTTAATTTTTTTAACATTCATTTTGCATTCCAATAAGAAAATAATTAATATAGTGGTTATTATCCATTTAGATTCAGCAAAAATGTTGATAGACGTGGAGAAGCTCGAATAAATGACAATATTGTCGGTTGAATTTTTAAGATGTAAATTGAGAAAAAAACTAAGTATTTAAAATGATTTGACAAGACTCATTTTTTAATAATTCCTTCACCCTCATATTTATATGAAAATTCTAGTAATTCGAGAGAAATTCGATAGTTTCAGAAAAACTTATAAAAAATACAAAAGTGGAATTAAAAAACATTTATTCGTTTTCTAAATTCATTCAAAAATTGAATTCATTTAAGAAAAACAATAATTTTTTCCGACCTTTCAAAAATAAAAGTCTATCAAATACACCACGAAAATACTAAAATTAGGCAAAAAGCTTTATAAAACGTTGCAAAATTATATTTTAAATTTCACTTATCCTATCGTAAGTCGTTGATACTTATTACCGTATTCGCCCATGTAAGTATAAGACGCACCAAAAACACGATTTTGCGCCGTTAAAAATCGGGCTGCGTCTACTCTCTGGGTGCGTCTTATCTATAAATAGTTATTGTTTTTTCAAAAATCACAGATATCACTTATAAGACGCATAAGACACGCTGACAATGTACGAGTGTTAGTGTTATGTTTGCTTAAATGTGTGTTTTATAAATAATTTAATAATTTAATTGTAATAATAATTATGTTCTAGAAATTAGTTATATAAACATAAATCCTGAAGTATTTTATTCATTGTTAGTTCTAAATAAAATTGATTTTAACGAAGATAAAATTGAAATATATTTTATTGAATTTTTCTTATTGTTCCTGACTATTTTAACGGTTCTTTGATAACTTGGGGTGCGTGTTATCTATGGCTGCTTATTATTTTCAGTTTTTGACCTTTGAAAAACTGGGGTGCGTCTTATACATGGGCGAATACGGTATATCGAATTCACTGCGAGCTCAAAGATAAAACTGACTTTTTAGATTTTTTATTGAATGTTAAAATTAACAGTTTCTGTACGTCAAAGAATTAGTTCAAAATTCATCAGTGACTTTGGATAATTAATACTATTGATTCACAGCATCATAAACCAATGCAGATATTAAAATTTTTCTATAATGATAAAAAACTAAAATTAGATTATATCATAAAGTATATGAATTATCATATGAATAACTATATTGTTATTTGCACGATATACCTGATTTTCATAAAATTTTGTATAATGCATAGTCATAAATACCAATAAACTTCGATGATCATATAGGGTAGAGGAGAAAACTTCTAATGGGCAGAAATATTCAAAACACGTGCTGCATAATCACGTACCTGACTCAACATCAGTTGCAATTTTCGTCATGTTAACGTTGGATTATCGTACCGGAGACAACGGATTTGGATTCCTCGTTGAAAAATACATGGAAATCATGTACCACGTGCAAATTATTAGTGATGCGAAATTTGACGTCAGCTGAAAGTACGATTTTCGTGGAAATTCGTGGAAAATGGTAATTTTCGTCATGTTAACGTTGGAATATCGTACCGGAGACAACGGATTTGGATTCCTCGTTGAAAAATACATGGAAAACATGTGTGACACATTAAATAAAATCTTATAATGAAATTTTATTCATGAAAAACTTATTTTTTGGCTAATCACTCGGTATAAATGCATGTTTTTAGTCATGAAGGAATAATCGTAGGTTGTCGCGGGAAACGGATTTGGATTCCTTGTTTCAAAATACATTGAAAAAGTGTATTGCAAGTTGATTTTATGTCAAATCCAACCCATTCAAATATTTTGACACTTTTTTTGCTGTTCTGCATCACTGTGCGTTGCTATCATCAGAGATATTGAAAAAATTTGACATATCCATATTTGAAACCCATTTGAAGCCCTCAAATGGTAGTGATTGAGTCATAGCCCAACCATAAAGGTTATTTACGTCATAATACATTAAAAATTTGTTTGGCTCATCCTTATTGAATTCTTCATCCATATATTTATTGTTTGCTTTTGAAAATCTATTGCAGCATTGACTAACACCTCCACGAATACCTTTTTGAATGAATAAAACCATATCTATATCTGTTATTAGATCAAGCTTCATGTTTGTATATTTTAACATCGCGTCCCATGTTAATCCAGGGGTAGTGTAATAATGAACAGGATCGAGATCATATGCATTCTTACAGGTTGATCGAAAATTTTCAATATCAGCTAGTAAAAGTACATCAGTTTTCAGATAGAGATCAGAATACATTCCTAAATCTATTTTCTTCCAAATACTACCGAAAATATTCCATACGTTTTGAGCAAGTATGTTTAATATTCTTCAGTAGGAATATCACTATCTGTCAATTGATTATGAAATTTTTCAATAGATGGTAACTCTGTTTTAGTTAGTCTATTTAAATTTTGGATGTATTCATATGGGAAAACTCCTTTTCTTTTGAGTAAATTAATCTGTTCTAAAGTGTAATTATCTTTCTGAAATTCTCTCTGTACAATATCTAGCTGAGGTAAATAATATGCTAATTTATCTAGAGATGTAGGCATAAATCGAAAGGAATCAATGAAACGAAAGCTAATTCGACTGTTTGCAACTTCTTTTGTGAAGGATATGTATCGCTCCTTGTTTTCAGCGTGAACAGAGATCTTTCCTTCAAATTCTGAGTTAGTAGCAATTTCTGTTATAATAAAATGTGAGTCATAGCCTTTAAAGTTATGAAATACGACTGGTATGAAAGCAGCATTCTTATAATTCAAATTACAATGTTTGTGAGCTGCACCTCTAAATTTTCCTGTTAAATGACAATGATCACGAACTCGTTTTTGGTTATCTTGAAAATATTGGTTGCAAATATGACATCTTCTTACCGTTTTGAATGCCTGTTCATTAACAAATTATAAATCCATTTTTATTGCATTATTATATTTCTTTTCTAACTCAATTACTAGGGACTTCAATTGCTTTATAAACCATAATGCTGGTGATTCGTCTTCATTTAATTTTTTTCTATATGACTTATATATCGACTTACTATCATCATAACGGTATTTTACATATAAT